TAATCATGGCATTGATGACATAAATATACAATTATAAGAATTTCTCTCTTGACACACCTGTTACTTAGGAGTGCCTGGCCATTGGGCAAACTAATCTTAGTAATTACTTTTGAGCTATGTGAATAATTATTGTTAGCCTTATTACATTATTAAGCTATTTTAGTGATGGCCTCACTGTGATGACATACTTTTATACTGATACAAAAATTCAGCTAGGTTGATCTGTAAACAGAGTGTGACTACATGAAGTCATATCTTGCTCTGTAGTCTGGGATATATAATAATGCTCTGAATGTAATGTATTTTGTCTTAATTGGTTTTGAGAGTATTAAAAAAATTTTTGTTGCATGAAATTTTTGAACTAATTGCTATTAAAATGGGATTCTTTTAATTTACTCAAAAATTTTCATCGCCAAAGCTAAGATCCTTTTCTGTGTAATATTTTTAACGTACTATTTTTGATCATATATGTGGTTTTATTATGATGTTTGAGCTGATTCTAATCAAAATTGGATTTTTAAAAGTTAAAGTTGTTCAAAAATTGTCAAAGTCCCTGTACTATATGACCAAATTTTGCCAAAAATGAAATAGAGAGAATTCTTAATTTTTATGATTTTTTTATGTATATACATGTATTTATGTTGTGTAGATAGTTGGAACTCATTCTGATCAAAGTTAATTTGTTTACAAATTTTTTAAGTTGCTCTAACACCTGTTGAAAGTTCCTGTACTATAATAGTACATGGTGTTAGGTCAAATCTCACAAAAATGAAAACTACATTTTACAATTTTTCCTGATGCGATTCTGATCAAATTTTGATTTTTTACAAATTTTCAAAGTTGCTCTAAAATTGGTACAGGATGCTTAGTCAAATTTTGCCAAAAATAAAAAGGAGGCAATTCTGCTTTCTAATAATTTTACATATATATGTACTTTTAGAAAAAGTATGTGCTGAAATCAAATTTCTAATAATTGGCCATAAACTATATAGAGTACATTATCAATGATCGTACACCACCAATTTTTAGACACTTGTTTTATGAAAACTATACATTGCCATCTCATGAAACTGCAAAGTATTATAGCAATAGTTATCCTTTATTTGCATGACAAAATTTGT